CTTTCATATCCGAATTTAACCAAGTGTGATTTGTTCGACTCTGCGCGCGGCCATCCAGATCGCCCCAAGACGGGTGAATCTACGCGCAAGCGAGCCCGAAGACGGCCCAAGAGGGCTTCAGCTCTCCGATTTGGAAATCTGCATACCTTACTTGCCAGTAGGTTGCTTTGCAGGGGTAATCGTCTCTTCGGGTCCTCCTGGGTGGCCCCTTGGAGGCCTCTTCGGGCGTCTTCGGGGCTTCTCGAGCCGTCCTGCGGCCACGTCGGGCGTTTTGGAGTGTTCTTTTGGCGATTCGGGGCCTCTTCGACCGTCTTGGGGTTGTCTGGGGGCCGTGTTGGCCCATTGTGGGGCCCGTTATCCCTCCATATTGCGTTCGGGCTGGGACTGGGGCATTCGGCGGGACCCCTGCGCTCCCAATCGATCTGACCGGTTTCTGGGGGAGGGGGAACATCTCACACGCCGATGACACCCCAAGGAGTCAGCGGATATCTTGTTTCTCTTGGCATGAAGTCACGTACCTACCTTTTTGTCGGCCCCACCAGCATTAGGTCTGGAGCGCGGGATTTCTCTTGCAGGCTGTGTGGCCCCTAAGAAGCTGTGCCCAGAGGCTCCAGGAGGCTGCAAGTGTCAGATGAAGTGGGGACGTGGTGGGGGGGTCCCAGACGATTTTTGCAGTGTCGGTGCCGTTGAAGAACGTGTGCCCAGACGCTCCAGGAGCTACCAGTGTCAGGTTTGGTGGGGGCGTGGTGGAGGGGGTCCCGGACGATTTCAGGCTGGGTGGCCCCTGAGAACCTGTGCGCAGAGGCTTCAGGAAGCTGCCTGTGTCAGGTGTGGTGGGGGCGTGGTGGGTGGGCTCCCGGACGATTTTTGCAGGCTGGGGGGTCCCGAAGAATTTGTGGCCAGAGGTCCCAGGAGGCTGCCAGTGTCTGGTGTGGTGGGGGGTGGGGGCGTGGTGGGTGGGGTCCCGGATGATTTTTGCAGAGGCTGCCAGTGTCAGGTGTGATGGGATGGTGGTGGTGGGGGGGTCCCAGACGGTTTTTGGAGAGTGGCTGGCGCCTAAGAACCTGTGTGCCCAGAGGCTCCAGGAAGCTGCCAGTGTCAGGTGTGGTGGTGTGGCCAGAGGTTCCAGGAGGCTGCCAGTGTTTGGTGTGGTGGAGGCGTGGTGGGGGGGGGGTTCAGATAGTTTTTGCAGGATGGGTGGCTCATAGGAACCTGTGCCCAGAGGCTACAGGAGGCTGCCAGTGTCAGGTGTGGTGGGGGCGTGGTGGTGGGGGGTCCCAGACGGTTTTGCAGGGTGCGTGGCCCATAAGAATCTGTGCCCAGAGGCTACAGGAGGCTGTCAGGGTCAGGTGTGGTGGGGGCGTGGTGGGGGCGGTCCCGGTGGATTTTTGCAGGGTGGGTGGCCCCTAAGAAGCTGTGCCCAGAGGTCCCATGAGGCTGCAGGGTCAGGTGTGATGGAGGCGTGTTGGGGGGATCCCCGTATGATTTTTACAGGGTGGGTGGCCCCTGAGATCTTGTGCCCAGGCTCCAGGATGCAGCCAGTGTCAGGTGTGGTTGGGGCGTTGTGGGGGGATCCCGGATAATTTTTGCAGGGTGGGTGGCCCCTAAGAACTTGTGCACTGTGCAGTGTCAGGTGTGGTGTGGGCGTGGTGGGGTGTTTTGGGGGCTGTTTTGGCGTCTCTTAGTTTTTTTCTTGGGCCTCGTGGGGAGCTGGGGCCTGTTGGAGGTCTCTGGGGGTCGTTCGTGCCTCTCGGGAGCCGTTTTGGGGCCCCTTGGGCCGTCTCGGGCGCCTCTTGGGCCGTCTTGGGGCCCTCTTGGGCCATCGTGGGGGCCTCTTGAGTGCCTCTTGGGCCGTCTTGGGGCGATCTGGGGGGCGTCTTGGGCCGTCTTGGAGCGTCGGGAAGGCGAGAAGTTGTTGATGCTGACAGTATACGTTCTACGCGGGGAACTCCCCGATTTTGGCCTCTTGGGGCTCCCTTGGAAGGCCTCTTCGGGTGCCTTGAGGCGAAAAAAGGGGGCCCTGGGACGGTCTTGGGGCTATCGTGGGCGTCTTGTAGCCCTCTGGAAGCCCTCTGGAAGCCCTCTGGAAGCCATCAGGAGCCGTCTTGGGGCCCTCTGGAAGCCATCAGGAGCCGTCTTGGTCCTCCAGGCGCGCTCGGGACCCAGCGGCCCCCAGCGGGCCGAGGGTTTGGCGGGATCAGATTTCTATGTGTAGATGTATTCGTTGATCTATCTATTTATACACATACATACACACATATACACATCCATCCATCCATCCATCCATCCATCAATCCATCCATCCATCCATACATACATACATACATACATGCATACATGGAGACATGCAGGCATGCATCCATGCATCCATGCATACACGCATACACGCATACACGCCTACACGCATACACACATACACATACATATACATATACATATACATATACATATACATACACATACACATACGCATACACATATACATACACATACACATACACATATACATATACATAAACATATACATATACATACATGCACACGTACGTACATACATACATACATGCATGCATACTAACACATACAGACATACATACATGCATGCACCCATACACACATGCGTACATGCATGCACATACACGTGTACATACACATACACATATACATGTACATATACGTACACATGTACATATACATATAGACACATACATACATATATATACACACATACATATACATTTACACGCACATGAACATACGTATTTACACATCCATACACGTATACGTATACGTATACATATACCTAGACGTATACATACATACACATGTACATGTACATTCACATGTACATGTACATACACATATACATACACATATACACATACACATTTACAGTTGCATAACCATAAGCAGTGACCTATATATATATGCATATACATTCTACATATGTGCATACATATACATGTACACATACATGTACACATGCCCATGCATATCCATATACAGATCCAACTACATGTACGCATACACATGTATATACAATGCATATACACATATATATATATATATATATACATTTCCACACACACATATACCCATACACATGAACATGCACACACATAGATATACATATACATATACATATCCGTAAGGGCTTCGCCCCCTGCCGCCGGCCCCCTCTCTCGGAGAATGGGCCATGGAAGAGCTAAGTCATGAGGCCTTGGCGCTGTCGTGAAGCAGTATCGAAACTTCATGCGAAGCCGATTCGCAATCAGCAAAACCAACTGATCACAAGAGGGGTTACCACACCTGGCGATTGGTAAGACGTGTATGGTTTACGGGCTTGGTTACCACACCTTGCGATTAAAGGGCCGAGGGAGTTCTCGCAGTTTGGGTTACCACGCCTTGCGATGGATGTGCGTGAAGGGTGGCACCGAATTTCAGAAATGTGCCAAATCCTTTGTGTTTTTGGACCCTGACCCGCGGATCTGCGTAAAGGGGTGGCACCGAATTTCAGAAATGTGGCAAATCCCATGTGTTTTTGGACCCTGACCCCGCGGATCTGCGTGAAGGGGTGGCACCGAATTTCAGAAATGTGGCAAATCCCATGTGTTTTTGGACCCTGACCCCGCGGATCTGCGTGAGGGGTGGCACAGAATTTCAGAAATGTTGCAAATCCCCTGTGTGTTTGGACCCTGACCCAGCGGATCTGCGTGAGGGGTGGCACCGAATTTCAGAAATGTGGCAAATCCCTGTGTTTTTGGACCCTGACCCCGCGGATCTGCGTGAGGGGTGGCACCGAATTTCAGAAATGTGGCAAATCCCATGTGTTTTTGGACCCTGACCCCGCGGATCTGCGTGAGGGGTGGCACCGAATTTCAGAAATGTGGCAAATCCCCTGTGTTTTTGGACCCTGACCCCGCGGATCTGCGTGAGGGGTGGCACCGAATTTCAGAAATGTGGCAAATCCCTTGTGTTTTTGGACCCTGACCCCGCGGATCTGCGTGAGGGGTGGCACCGAATTTCAGAAATGTGGCAAATCCCTGTGTTTTTGGACCCTGACCCCGCGGATCTGCGTGAGGGGTGTCGATTTCGAGCCCCCCCAGCAATTCAGACAACGCGCCCAGGAGACGCTAAAAATCTGGTTTGGGCCTCCCCCCCCCTCGCGCGGTCAATCAACTAGTTACAGTAACCAGCAAGAAGCAGAACTGTAACACTGGAAACTACAAGCTACAACTGGTACTGGAAACTGCGAGCCCGCGCCTCGCAGCCTGGTGGCCCCACAAGGGGGCCGGCGGATACATACACATATACATATACATATACATACACATATACATATACATATACATATACATATACATATACATGTACATATACATATACATACACATATCCATGTACATATACACATACGTATACATATACATATACATATTCATATTCATATTCATATACATATATATACATATATATACATTTACATACACACATACATATACATATACATATACGTATGCATATACAGATGCATATCCATACACATATACACATACACATACACATACACATACACATTCACATGTCCGTACACACATACACATACATATACCTATACCTATCTCTTTACATGCACATATAATGTACGTACACATGTACACACATGTACATTTTTACAAGTATTCAGCAATATATGTATACATGTACACACATACATATATATATATGTATATATATATATATATATATATATATATATATATATATATGTTAGTGCGGAGTATGCTTGCAGACGGGCACGGGATTGAGGGGCCCAGCTGGTCTTTGTCACGCTCCCTTGTATTCCATTATATATTTGCTCAAGCTTTCACGGGCTCGCTCGCACGCGCCCCCTTCGCGAGGTTCCTCGCCGCCGCGGCGGCCGGGCTTCCCATCGGCAGCGGCGCCGGTTCCTGGCGCGTCGGCGGCCCTGCGGCTCGCGGCTGGGCTGGCCGCCGGACATGTCGGGTGGTGGCGCGCCCGGCTCCAGCAGCGGCCTGGACCCGGCCGTGGAGGAGGTGATCCTCCTCGAGCAGCTCGAGGAGCACGGCGACGTGGCCGAGTCGGACTTCGAGCTGGAGCTCCTCAGGCACCAGCTCGATTTGCGGGCGCAGGCCGGAGCCACGGTGGAGTGGGTGACGCCTGCGGTCGAGGAGGCCGGCGGCGGCGCCTACATCGACGCTGGCTCGCAGCTTCCCGGGGTGTACGCAGCGGGCGGTGGCGCCGCACCTCCGTTGGGAGGGCGCCTCCCAGGGGCCGGCGACGCGCGCCCGGTGGGAGCTCCTGAGGCGGGCCGGCCATCCTCCTCGCGGCCTTCGATTCGCGAGGACCCGCTGACCATCGTCGTCCGGTCGTTCTTGGACGTGGCGGTGCGGCGCCAGTGGATCTCCGCGGACCTGGGCGAGGACGTGGCATCGTTCCGCATGCGGGTCGGGCGCCCCACCTGTACGCCGAGGGAGGACATTGTGCTGATGGTTCACAACCGGCTGATGCTGGACGGGAATCCTCTCAGGACCTATACGGCATCGGGGCCGAGTCCGAGGTCTTCGCGACCCGCAAGGTCCGCGGAGGCGCCGAGTCAGGCGATTCAAGCGTAGGGCCTGACTCCCCTCTGGGTTGGGTGTGTGGCCAGTGCCGCTCGTGGAACAGGTGCGGGCTTGAGTGCCACCTGTGCGGGGCGGCCAACCCCGACATGGACCTGGACAGCAGCGAAAGCGACGAGGCGTCCGACATCGTGGCGGAGATCGATGCCGCGGGTGGCGCCGACGAGGAGCTGATCGACCCGCCGTCCGTGGAGGCCGCGCCCGGGCCCTTCTTCGTGGGCGTCCTCGATCAGAACGGGACGTTCTGGACGGAGCCGCTGGGCGGAGGCGCCGGTGGTGGAGGCGGGGAGGTCCGCGTGAGGACTGGCGCCGTGCTGCCAGAGATCCTGTCACAGGAGGCGACTCCCATCAACGGGCACTACACCTCGGCTGCTCTGTCCCTCGCTGAGAGGGCCGCCGCGGACGACGCCCTGATCGACGATGGTGGTCCGTCCCTCCCCGGTGATGACGAAGACGATCCCGCCCAGTCCAGCGGCGGTGACAGCCGCGGTGAGGGCAGCCCGCCGCCGGCCGCCAGTGGTGGCCCTGCCAGCCCACCTAGCCCGCGCTACATCCCTTTCCCGGGGGTCAGCGAGGCGGAGGTGGCGTACCGCATGCGGGCCCAGAACCTCGACCGGGAGACCGCGACCGCCATCGTGGCGGATGGGGCCTTTTTCTGGTGCGGCTTCTGTGGGCTCATGGGAGACAGCCAAGACGAGGCGTGCGGCATGTGCCGCCGGCGCTATCCGATCTCGGCTGAGACGCCCAGCCCGCCCGCAAGCGACGTCGGGGAGGCCCGCATGATCCTGATGGCACCGCTCAACCAGGGGATCCCCGAGCAGGAGCCCGGAGCCGATGCAGGCGTGATCGTGGAGGAGGGGTTCGGCCTGGCCTTGAATGGCCACCCGGCCGCGGTGCCGCGCCCTGGCCGCCGCATGCTCCACGTGGCGCAGTTGATCGACGGGAACGAGGTCGCCCTTGACAACCCGGCTGATGAGTGGTCGCGGTTGGGGACGGCAGGGGCAGCGGCTTCGGCTTCGGCGGGCTCGGTCCAAGATGACGGCGACGGAGCATCGCTGGACCAGCCGCCGCGCTCGCCTCGGGGCCCCCCGGCGTCCGCGGAGGTCAACCCGAGCGACGTCGTGGAGGACGCCGCGTCGCCGTTGGGGTGAAGGCCCGGGCCGGCGGCGAGGCTGGTCGACTCGACGCTGGAGGCCCAGACCCGGTGGGCGGTGATGAGCGAGTGAGGCGCGCGGCGATGCTGCCGCTGTTCCCCATTCCTCTGTCGCCGGCGCCCACCGTTCCGAGCGGGCGTGGCCGGCAGGCGTCTTGCCTGAGGGGCCACTTGCGCCGACTGAATGCAGATGTCAATGCAACTGTGAAAGCTTTGAATTGGATGGCTGGGGACCGGCACTCACCCGAGTACGGGCCGCCGCGAACCCAGGAACAGGCTAGTGTGCATGCGCGCGTCCGGGATAGGATTTCTTCCCTTTTGGATTCTGGCGTCGCGATCCCTAGTCAGCGAGCGGCTTTTCGTGAGCTGCTGCGCGGCCGGGCAGTCTATGACTCTGAGCCCGGTGGACACAACCTTGCCAGTTTCTCTAATGTCGCCGCGGTGAGCCTGCCTGATAGCCTCGAAGGTGCCCCTTTGGTACACGAGGTGGTGGGCCCAGCGGCGAGCCAGTGCCTAGAGCAGAACTACGAGCGCATGCTGCGCCCACTTTCGGACACTTTGGAGCGTGGCGAGTCGCTGCCTCCCATTACTCCCTACTGGGACCCTGTGCTTTCCCGCAGCCGCCGCAAGTTCTTGCGGCTCATGCGGGCCCTTTTCCGCATCGGCCTGGTCGCGCTTTTGCCTGCTGGTTCGTCGCGGGAGCGAGTCGGAATGTTCTTCGTGAAGAAGACGGGAAAAAGTAAGAGTAGGCTCATAATTGATGCACGTCGTGCAAATCGGCGCTTCGCTGACCCTCCTGGAGTCCATCTCTGTTCGTCCGAGAGTCTCGCTAGGATCGAGGTCTCTCTGCCCAGTGGTTGCTCAAGTCTCTCTCCCTCTCAGCTTCGTAGCGCCCAGTTGTCCCTGGGGCTGGCGGATGTAAAAGACGCTTTCCATCGTTTCCGACTCCCGGCGGGGCTGGCCAGTTATTTTGGGCTGGGGACTGCCACGGCGGGGGAATTGAGCGTGGTCGGCCATGTGATTGGAGGGAGGACCCTTGGAGTTGATGATCAGGTTGATATCTGCTGGGCTTCGTTACCAATGGGTTTTCTTGGTCTCTCTACTTCTGCCAGCAGGCCGGAGAGCATCGTTTGTCTGAGGTCCCGGGTCTTAGAGGTTCAGTGCTTCTCCAAGATCGAGGGAGGCCTGGTGTCTTCAGCTTTTCGGAGGGCGAGAGCGTCGAGAAGGATCAGGAAGCGCTCGAGGGCTCAGGGGTGTGTCACTACATCTATGTCGACAATCTTGGGATTCTCACGTGTGATCCTGCCCATGCGGCGTCCATCCTGTCCGACGCAGCCAGCCGTTTCGAGAGCGCGGGCTTGGTGACCCACGAGCACGAGGTGAGCGTCACATCTTCGAAGGCCCTGGGAACTCATCTGGATCTGGTGGGGCTTGGGGTCTCGTTGTCACCATCACGCTTGTGGAAAGTTCGACAGGGGGTCCTGTTTGCCTTGTCGTGTCGGAAGTTACCGGGCCGTGTCAAGGAAGTGTTGCTTGGGCATCTCACCTTCTGCGCCCTGATCAATCGGAGCATGATGAGTGTGTTCAGAAGCATCTACGCCTTCATAGGTAAGTACTATGCCACTCCCATGCCATTGTGGGACACAGCGAGGCAGGAGATGCTGGCCGCGGCCTCCCTGCTCTTCTTGATGGATGCCTCTTGGTCGTTGCCCTGGGCCCCAAATGTCGTGGCCACGGACGCGTCGGAGGAGGGGTTCGGGGCCACCGTCTCTACCTGGGACCCCCGGGACGTCGCGACGGTGGGGGGGATCATGGAGAAGGGCCGCTTTCGGAGGCTTCCTGGAGTGTCGGCCCGGTCGCGCTTCTTCGGGACCTTAGAGGATCTGGAGTCCGATCTGGGGGACGACGACCTCGACCGACCATATGACGTCGACACGGGGTTCCCTGGGGCCCCTCACAGGCTGCTTTCGGAGGCCCGCTGGAGTACCCTACTGGCTGGCCCTTGGAGGTACTTTGACGAGGGCATCTTTACCCTGGAAGCTAGGGCCCTGGTGCTAGGTTTTCAGGCCCTGGCGAGCGAGTACCAGGTCAGGAACGCCCGCTTGCTGTTCTTGGTTGACAACATGGGGGTGTGCTTGGCGTTCGCTCGGGGACGAACCTCGGATTTTAGGACATTGATGTGCGTGAGACGCATGGGGGCCTGGTGCCTGTCTCTGGGGCTTCGTGTCTGCTTTCGGTGGATACCCTCGGAGTGGAATGCCGCTGACGAGCCGTCCCGTCGTTTCTCAGTTGAACATGTTGGCTCACACGCTGATCTTGGCTCTGTTCGCGATCCCCCTGCTCTTCACGGACCGCCCGAATGTGACGCTGAACCCGCCGGCTCCAGTCCTGGCGACGGCCGCGCCGCGCTCAGCCCGCTGGGCGGACCGCCCGGCCAGGAGCCCAACGTCTCTGACAACGCCGACGGCGAGGCCCCGCGCTTCCCGACCATCCAGGCTGGGGCGGGACAGTCCTCAAGCTCGGGTTCCAGGTCGACACTGGCTGCTTCGCGGGCCTCTCGGCGAGGCTGCCGAGGCGGGCGAGCCGGCGGTGCGGCCGCGTCGAGGTCCTGGTGGCGTACCTGGCCGGTTGCTCCGCCGCCCGGACTTCCGCTTCCTGAAGGACGCAGGCTGCAAGGGCCGCGGGGGGCTGCAGCATGTCGGGAGCCTGACGCCGCCCGGGCTGAGCAGCTACATGACAACGCCAGCGGCGCCGCGGTCGCGGGCACGGCATCGGGGCACCTCGTGCGGCGGTCCCTCTGCCTCATGGACCTGCTCGGGCTTCGCGCCAGCGAGCCGGACCCGCCGTGTGTTCGTGCTGAACATGGGCATCTACAAGCACAAGGCCAGGGTCTTCAACTTCTTCTTCAACAGCTACCCGCGCCAGTTCATGGCGTGGGACACTTCACGGCGGCGCCTCCATCCGCTGTTTCTGGGAAAGCTCTCCGACGCCGCCATCGTCGCCGCCGGGAAGTATTGCATTTGGGCCAGGATCAAGAGCAGGAAAAGGTGGAAGGCGGACCTACGCGCGCTAGTGTACTGCAGCACAAGCCTTGTCAAGCACACCTCCGAGCAGCAGCTGATCGTCTCGTCGGCGTCTCACGGGTGCAAGCGGGAGCCCCCTCCCGGGCCCCCTTTGTGCGACCAGATCGACCCCTCGGCCAGCGGACTGCCCGACATCCTGAGCTCGGCCCCAAAGAATCGACGCCTTACCTCGCTGACCTTTTTGGGGGTACAGGCGGAGTGGGTCGCGCAGCAGGTAGATGCGGTATCCGGGCCAGGCTGTGGGACAAGTCGGTTTCAGACGCCTTGGATCTGACACTTTTGAAGAACATCCAGCTTCTCTGCTCAGAGGCCAAAGCACGCAAGTTAGTCGCAGCCATGATCGCTATCGAGTGCCGGTCTTGGGGCATCGCTCGCAATCGAACCAATGTGATCCGTTCGCGACTGGGGCCCTGGGGAGTTACGAGTCCAGCCAAACCTTTTTCAATTAATGACCTGGAAGCCCTCAGGAGCGGAAATCTCCAAGCTCAGCGAATCCTCAAGTTCATTCGGTACATCCACGCTTTGGGTATCCCTTGGGCCGTCGAGAATCCCAACACCAGCATCCTTTGGTGGGTTCCTGGCTTTCTGGCGCTCGCAAAAGACCCCAAGGTGTCTGTTAAGGTTATCGACCAGTGTGCGTTTGGAACACCATGGCGAAAACGAGCTCGTCTCATGTTTGGCAATTGCGACCCCTTTGATATCAGCTTGTGCGACCAATACGTGTGCCACGGTCAAGGGACATGCCTTTTCTCTGGAAAGCGTCATGTAGAGCTAGAAGGCAAACGTATGACGTATCAGGCTCAGACATGCCCTCCACGCCTCTCCCAGCTTCTGGCTAACATACTATGCAGTACTGCAGTCTATCAGCGCGCTCACCACTATGGGCATACATATCCACTGTGATCTACCTCTCCTTCATCAACTCATAAGCTCACTACCCTTTTGGGACGACTTGGGAATCAGCGTTCGCCTTTGGCCGAGTATATACTCATTGCATTCTCACGTCCGTTTGTGGGCCAGCGCGTGAAGACGGTGGCTGAGTTGATTAGACATATTGCTGTTGAAAAAGAAGAAGCGAAGGCCTCTCATGTTAGTGCGGAGTATGCTTGCAGACGGGCACGGGATTGAGGGGCCCAGCTGGTCTTTGTCACGCTCCCTTGTATTCCATTATATATTTGCTCAAGCTTCCCTCCCCCCTCTCCCCCTCTTGCGCCGTGTCGTTTCGACTCCACGTTTCAAAAGGAATCAGCGTTCGCCTTTGGCCGAGTATATACTCATTGCATTATCACGTCCGTTTGTGGGCCAGCGCGTGAAGACGGTGGCTGAGTTGATTAGACATATTGCTGTTGAAAAAGAAGAAGCGAAGGCCTCTCATATATATATATATATATATATATATATATATATATATATTCGCGGCCGGGGGGGGGCGGGCGACTGCCTGTTCTTCCCACGGGTGCCCGCTGGGGGTTGTGGGGGGTTTAGAGCTCCCGAGGCGGCCCAGGCCCGCCCCGAAACAGGCCACGACAGGCCAAGCGGGTCCCGAGAGGGCCCAAGACGGTCCCAAGAGGTCTTCGAAAACGCCCAAGATGCCCTCAGACAGCCGACGAGGATTCCAAAACGCTCTGGGACGGAGTTGAGAGGCTCCGCAAGAAGGCTCTGGGAGGCAACATTCATTAATTTCGCGATGGTTTTTTTCAAGATTTTGGCGTTCTCGCTTTCCCCGATTTCCAGCGCTCCCTCACGGCCTCAAAGGCCCTGAAGATCTCGCCAAGACGGCCCACGAGGCCGCGCAGAGGGCCCCAAGACGGCCCAGGAGGCTCCCCAAACAACCCAAGTGTGGCCCAAGAGCGCCCCAAGAGGGTGCCCAGAGGGGTCCCGAGGCGGCCAGGGCCCGCCCGGAAGCAGGCCACGACAGGCGAATAGGGTCCCGAGAGGGAGAGCTCCCAAGAGGCCCCGAAGACGCCCAAGCTGCCCTCAAGACAGTCGACGAGGATTCCAACACGCTCCAGGACGGACTCAAGAGGCTCCCCAAGAGGGCCTTGGGAGGTTTTTTGCAGGATTTTGGCGTTCTCGCTTTCCCCGCTTCCCAGACCCCTCACGGCCTCGGAGGCACTTCAGATCGCGCCAAGACGGCCCACGAGGCCCCGAAGCGAGCCCCAAGACGGCCCAGGAGGCTCTTGAGACAACCCAAGTGTGCCCCAAGAGCTCTCCAAGAGGGGGCCCAGAGGGGGCCCGCCAACCGATATTTCAAGGTTTATGGCCCTTGAGGCCCCCAGTAGGCCCCGGGAAGCCACCAAGAGGCTCCGACGAAGCCCCGTGAGGCGCCCAAGAGGCCCCCCAATGGGCTCCCAGGGAACGCCCAAGAGACCCCCCAGCACACCCCAAGAAATCATGTCCACAGAAGGTCTTCCAGGGACGTGGTTCATCATGGGCCCGAGAGTTCGGGGAGGCCCCCAAGGGGCCCCCAGGGAACGCCCAAGAGGCCCCCCAACACACCCCAAGAAATCACGTCCACAGAAAGTCTTCCGGGGACATGGGCCCGAGAGTTCCCAGAGGCCTCCAAGGGGCCCCTAGGGAACGCCCAAGAGGCCCCCCAACACACCCCAACAAATCATGTCCCCAGAAAGCCTTCCGGGGACATGGTTCATCATGGGCCCGACAGTCTCCGGAGGCTCCGAAGTACCATCACGCTACCGGAGAGCTGTCTGGGAAGTTGATTGGGAGTATGACTGATCGCCTTCTCGCGGCCCCCCTCAAATCGTTTCGCACAAAGTCGCCCCAAGTGCCTTCTTGAACCGACGACGACGACGACGACGAAGACGATGAAGCGACGACGACGACGACGACGACGACGGCGCACCCCAAGAGGCGACGACGACATTACGACGACGACGACGGCACGCCCCAACAGGCTCCCCAAGACGCCCCCCAAACCCATGTTCCCAGAAGGCCTTCTGGGAACCCGATTTATCCGGCTTCCGCCCCCCTACGCAACCATTTTCCACGAGGGCCTTCTGGAGTGCGGATTGACATGCGTGGACTGTGGCCCTCTACGTCATTGGAGCAGAACTCGCTGGGGCCTGCTAGAACCTGAGCGCGCGCGAAGCGCGCGCGATGGTTCTAGCATAGATGAGTATATGTATGTATGTATGCATGCATGTATGTATGTGTGTATGCTTGTATGTTTGTGTATATAACGTATGTAATGTATTCAATGTATGTATGGATGCATGCATGTATGCATACATGCATGTATGTATGTATGTATGTATGTATGCATGTATGTATGTATATATGTATACATATATGCCTGTACGTATGGATGTATGTATGTGTACGTATGCATGTATACATGTATGTATGCATATGTGCATGTATGTATGCACGAACGTATGTATGTATGTATGCATGCATGCATGCATGCATGCATGTGTGTACGCATGTATGTGCGTACGTGCGTACGTATGTGTGTATGGATGGATGCCTATATGTATGTTTGTGTGTATGTATGACTGCATGCATGCATGTATGTATAACGGTATGTATGTATGAATGCATGTGTGTATGCATATATGCATGCATGTAACTATGTATGTGTGTATGCATGTAATTATGCATGCATGTATCTATGTGTGTATGTATGTATGTATGTATGTATGTACGTACGTACGTACGTACGTACGTACGTACGTATGTATGTATGTATGTATGTATGTATGTATGTCTGTATGTGTGCATGTGTGTATGTGTGTGTAAATATGTAGGTAGGTAGGTGGGTAGGCAGGTGGGTAGGTGTGTATGCATGCATGAATGTATGTACGTACGTCTGATTGTATGTATGTCTGCCTGTCTGTCTGCCTGTCTGTCTGTCTGTATGCATTCATGCATGCATGCATGGGTTTATGTATGTATGTATGTATGTATGTATGTATGTATTAATGCACTGTAATGCAATGCAATGTAATGTAATGTAATGTAATGTACTGTAATGTAATGTAATGTAGTGTAGTGTAGTGTAATGTATGCATGCATACATGTATGTATGTATGCATGCATGCATGCATGCATGCATGTGTGTGTATGTAGTTTGTATGTATGTGTGTATGTGAGTATGCAGTATGTCTGTATGTATGTATGTATGTACGTCTATGTATTTATGTATGGATGGATGTATGGATGTATGTATGTATAGCTGTATACATGTGATGTATATATGTCTGTATGCATGCATGTATGTATGTATGTAGGTAGGTAGGTATGTAGGTAGGTATGTAGGTAGGTAGGTTGGTAGTTTGGTAGGTAGGTTGGTAGGCAGATAGGTAGGTGGGTAGGGACATCCCCGTGCACGAGGCCCGGGCGCCCGAGGCCTGGGGCCCGAGCGCGCATGGGAGGACCAGGGTTTCCCAGACCGCTCCCAGAGCACCCCGGAGCTCCCAGACTGCCCCAGACTGCCCCAGACTGCCCCAGACAGCTCCCAGAAGCCTTAGGGGATTTCGACAAGCCCCTCCAAGACAGCCCAGATAGCCACAACGTGGCCCAAGATGGGTTCGAGACCGCAAATACACAGCCCAAGAGTTCTCCTAGAGGCTTCAAGAGACCTCCGATAGTCGTCCCGACAGAGCCCGAACAGGCCGAAATCCTAGATTTTTATTTGTTTCTTATGTTGCTCGGTGTCTCGCGTTTTCGACCTTCCGACGCTCCACGACAGCCGACGACGCCCCCAAGACGGCCTCAATGCCGCCGAAAAGGCCCCCAACATAGCCCCAAGACAGCCCCAGGGAGCCCGCAAATTGCCCGGGACGAGCCTCAGACGGCCCAAGAGAGCCCCAGGACAGGCCCAAGCTGGGCCAAAGAGCAGGAGCGGAAGGCCCCAAGGCGCTCTTAGACGGCTATGATGGCCCCAACGCGGCCCCAGATGGGCCCCACGCGGCCAGTACAGAGCCCAAGAACCCTCCAAGAGGCCCCAAGAGAGTACCGAGAAGCGTCCCGAGAGAGCCCGAAGAGGGCCATATCCTTGAATTCCAATTGTTTTTTCAATTTGTTTCGCTTTCTCGCGTGACGGCCCCGGAGAGCATGACTACTGCGCAGGAGCAGCCCAAAATTGCCCAAGAGAATCCCAGGAATGGCACCAGATGGGCCCCAGAGCAGGAGCGGGAGGCCCCAGGGCGCTCCAGGACGGCCGAGATGATTCCAACGTGGCCCAAGAGGAGCTCAAGGCGGCAAACACACAGCCCAAAAGGCCTCCAAGAGGGCCCGAGAGAGCTCCGAGAGACGTCCCAAGAGAGCCGAAAGAGGCACACATCATTGATTTCCATTCGATTGTTCTATATTTTACGCTTTCTCGCGC